TGGCTGCACATGTCAGTCTCCCCCACCGGACCGTGTGGCCCTTGGACAAAGGGACAACATATTGCCTGGCTCCATACAAGATTGTTCGAAGATTTGGTGAATAAACAAAGCCTGCAATGCAAATAAAGTAGCAAAATTGGTGGGTTTTTCCTCCAGTAAAGCTTGAAAAATTATATAGAGACTATACATTCAAAGATGAACTTATGAATATGGGATATCCTTTATTTGCCCCTTTACGTTCATTTGCTCTGGCTGCCATAAGAGAAACCACAGACCTGGGTGGCTTAAATAACAGAAACTGATTTTCTCACAGTTCTGGAGGCTGCAAGTCCAAGATCCAGGGTGTCAGCAGGGTTGGTTTCTCCTGGCCTCTTCTCCTTGGCTTGCAGATGGCCACTTTCTCGCTGGGTCCTCACGTGGTCTTTATGCTGTGCCAAGCATCCCTGGTAGCTCTTCCTCTTCTTATAAGAACACTGGTCCTGTTGGATTAGGGCCCACCCATATGAACTCATGTAACCTTAATTACGTTTTTAAAGGCTCTGTCTCCAAATACAGTCACATTCTGAAGTGTACTGGGGAGTTAGGACTTCAACTGTGGGTCGTTGAGGATTCAGTTCATAACACCTGGATATCGAGAAGGCAAAATAGCCAGAATCAGACTTTAATGGAGCACACTGGGTTAAATTTCTCTGGTCCATTAGATGGAAAGGCATGTGGTTGTATTTTGGAAATTTCTGAACAGATTGAGGCCTGGAAGATATTGTGAAACAGAATTCTAAGAATAAAGAATTTTAAAAATTATTAAAGTAGGCTTTGTTGGAGGAGAACATTGAGGTCAGAGGCTGCATGAAATAAAGCCTTGATCTCCCTGGAGGGAATCAGGGAGTCCCCCTGAGCAGGGCATGTGGGTACCAAAGCCAAAAGAAGTAATGGGGATTTTAGGCAGCAGCCTGGAATGAGGGGCGGCTGCCCTTCATGGAAGAGGGGAAATCCTAGGCACTGCCAAGTTGGGACTTTACTGAGGAAAAGATTGAGAAGACAGAACCTTTCTTTCAGGCTGGGTTAAAAAATGTGCATATCTACCTTCTGGGTCTTGAGCTTTCTCAGTTGAAAAATGCTTTGTTGAATCCTCTGTTAATCACAACCTGTATGTTTCAAGAGTATTTTCTCCTTAGGACTAAATGTAAAGAGGGGAAATGATTCTTAGAAAACACACATTTATAACCATCCTTGCTCTGGGGCACACTGGTACCGTGTTGCTCTTGCAACAAGCCTGCATGAGTATAGGACAGACTTTGTGAATTTCAAGGCATGTGTGCTGTGCCACTGCTTTTTATTACCCAGTGTCATCACTAGTATTTCTCAAACTATTCTCACAGCACTGTACTGTGTGGCCTTCTTCATATTGTTTTATTATATCTAATTTCCATTCTACAGCAATAGATTGCCATAGCCCACTCTTCGGCATTAACATGTGTACTTCCTTTTAATGAATGTGTGATGATATTGTCATAAGACATGAAACATTTTAAATTATAATTAGCAGTAAATTTTAGGATAACAGGAACACAGATGGAGAAGTTCAAGTGCATATAAATAACAGCATAGTTTGTCCAGTACTAAGGAAGGATGCATTGTTTACTGACAAAGTTATACTGCATGGCAGTAGACCACAGTGTAATCAGAACTTAGTTTACTTTATCCAGCAATTTTGAAATGGTATTATGTTTCTTGACAATTATTTTTTAATTTGAAGGAACTTGCATTATTTAGGATTTTGTAAATAAACTGAAATTTTACTGAGATTATTATATCAAACTATTCCACATCTGCATGTTTAAAATTCACACAATATGATAGCATACAGTGTAATAGGCAAGAAAGATAAGAGACCAAGCAAATCTAAGTTTGATGCAAAGGCAGGTTGTTTTAAATAAACCTCAAAGTTGGAATTCAGAAGAGTAGAGAACTTTTCGTCATCTCTTCTGTCTTCTCCTTCCATAATCTTTAGTAGCCAGTTTATCTTTCCTTATCTGCACCCCCCATAGCTGAGCCTCTCTCCCAATAGCTACCATTAAGTCATTCTATATCTACTGTTATGATTTTCCTTTCCCCCAATCACCTGACCTCTTGTCCCTTCTAACTTTATCCTGATGCTTAATTGGGGAGCTCCATTTCTAATGTGGAGCTTTAAACCCTCCATGTAAGAGGCTTGACATAGAAGGTTATTGACTGAAGAAAGCCACTGTCAATCAGCTTAGCCTCCAAACAGCCATCCTAAGCTTGGTCTGCCAGCCTGGAAATGAGACATGTGCCTCATCCTGATTCTAAACTTATGTCCTCAGCCATGGTTCTGGAATGGTAATGCTAGCCCTGCCTACCTCATAAGTAGTTTTGAGAATAAGTGGGTGCCTTACCTCAGGCTGCCGTAACAAACTACCATAGAGTGGGTTAAACAGGAGGAATTTATTTTCTCACAGTTCTGGAGGCTGGAAGTTTGGGATCAGGGTGCCAGCATGGTCAGGTTCTGGTGAGGGCTCCGTTGCTGGCTTGTAGATGGCTGCCTTCTCATTGCATCTTCACATGGTGGAGAGACAGAACAGTCCAATCAATTCCTCTTCCTTTAATCCCATCATGGAGGCCCCATCCTCTTGACCTCATGTAAACCTAAGTACCTCCCAAAGACTCTGCCTCCAAATACTATTACATTGGGGGTTAAGCCTTCAGTGTAAGAATTTGGGAGGACATAAACATTCAGTCCATAACAGTGTGCTTTTAAAATGCATGCTTACAGAGATTTTTGAAAAGTATAAAGTGATTTGCAAATGTAAGGTATTTTTATTGGTGGTGTTATATTTTTATTGTCAAGTTTCTAAACTTTTCCCCTGTGCCTCGGTTTCTCAGGAAACCAAATTCTTTCCGGGCAATGTTCAGGAAATTAGAGCCCTGGTGCAATTTGAAATTTGAGAAGCAAAATATTAAGTGTCCAGAGCATTGGGGCTCTGCGACAGTACATACTATCTTTCGATACTGATGCTTCCATTTTTACTGCATTGCTGCTCTATTGCAGTGCAGATATTTTAATTCGATAGAATTCATCAATACCTTATATATCCTACAGCAAAAGAAAAGGACCCTGAGAGAATGGGAAGCAAGACGAATTGGTTTTGAGGGAGGTGGAGGATTGGGCAAGCTTTGGGACAGGAGTACCAAGTGCAGGAGGTGGGGATGGTGGCAGGGTGCGATCCTCCAGCAGCTGCAGAGGAGAGGAGATGGTAAAAAAGACCAGTGGTAAAAAAGCACTGGAACACCTATTAGGAATGCCATTCTTAGAAGGTGGACCAATGGTAGAGGATATGGAAGGGCACAGTCAAAACAGACTTTTCCTCCTTCACAGCTAATGCTTCCGCGATTGCCACCAGCTGTGCAGGGTCTCTGTCACATAATAACAGGCACCTGATAAGTGTTGAATGCGTGGTAGAGGATATGGAAGGGCACAGTCAAAACAGACTTTTCCTCCTTCACAGCTAATGCTTCCTCGATTGCCACCAGCTGTGCAGGGTCTCTGTCACATAATAACAGGCACCTGATAAGTGTTGAATGCGCGTTTGAATAAATAAGTGTGTGCCTCCATGGCACCCAGGTTTGCCTTGCTCCTAGCAGCAGTCTCTCTCCTATAGTAGTACATCTTTCAGCTTTGCAAAGTTTCAGACATTGAAACTCGTTGGGGGAATGTTCTATAAAAATGAGGAATGGAGAGAACTTGGTGTCAGAGGGGATGTCTTGGATTCTTGGTTTACCTAAGACTGGATCATTTAGACAACGTGGTTGTCAAAATGTAGTTTCTTCTCTGTTGTTTCCATTTCTTTTCACTCGTTGAATCGCATTTTATTTCTCTTGAGTACCTTTCCTTTCTTATCTAGATTGTCAGTTTGCTTTGGAAATGAAATATTATCCAGGCACAGTATTGCTTAAAATGACTATAGGTAATGGAAGAAACTAACAAATAGGCCTTTTATAGCCTATGTGCAATTGTTATTTTCTTTATTAGTTTTTTAAAAGTTTTCAGTGGATCAGTTATATATGCACATTAATTGCCATGACTTGCAGAAGATGAGTTGTATCTTTCTGTGTTTGTGTATGTGTGCATATGTTACTGCCAGGACATATCTTTTACTGTCTATTAAAGCTGTCAAAGTTGTTTTTAAGACTGTTTTATGATTTTAAGATTTTAAGATTTCAAATAAATTAGTTTCATGTTTTTGAAAAAATTGTTCCTTTTTTAATGTTAGTATATCCCTTGAAGTTTATTTCCAAGATGGCTTGGTTATTTGAAAGAGCACTGTTTTTCTTAGAGAAGCATATACTCTAAAAATTTGAAGGTTAAGTTGTCAGCTGAGTTATTTTTTTTTCTGGATTGTACAGTTTCGTTACTTTGTTAGACTCAGAGCTGTGTAAACTATCAGAGCTAAAAGGGGCTGTGGAGATTGTCCTTCTGGAGTTTCTTGATCTTTGCCAACCTAGTCCCCATTTTGATAAATACAAAAAAAACGTTAAATGAAATCTGGAATTTGAAGCAAATTAAAATGAAATGTTGTCACCGAAACCAAAACAAAGCAATGTAATAGTGTCACTTTTTCATTTTTTATAAATCATAAGGGGCTTTGAGGTTCTGATACCTTGGAGGGCATGCTTCTACCCACTGTTGAAAATGGTTGACTAGATTAATCCCTGGTTTTAAAAATAAAAAGACTGAGGTCCAAGGATTTAAAGCAAATTAAAATGAAATATTGTCACCAGATATTTGTTCTGCCATGACATAGAAGCACTTCCTGGCTATAGCATCTGTGGAATAGGTGGGACAAAATCTAAATCTGAAATGGATTCATTTTTGAAATAAAGTTTGGGTCTTTTTTCACATTGAGAGCACTTAATGATGGTTTTCCCTGCATAATTCAGCAGGTCATCTCAAACTTCTAATTTGTTCTTTTTTTAAACAGTGTATCTGGTGGAGAGCTGTTTGATCGGATAGTGGAGAAGGGATTTTACACAGAAAAAGATGCCAGCACTCTTATCCGCCAGGTCTTGGATGCTGTGTACTATCTCCACAGGATGGGCATCGTCCACAGGGACCTCAAGGTGAGGCTGTCGCTTAGCAACGTCCTCCATCTCGCTCTCCAACCCATAATGCACCTGTCCAGGAGGTTCCAGTGGAGGGATAAGTCTGCTCTGTAGAGATGGGTGGAATGTTTGTGCACTTTTAGTTGTCAGGGTATTTGGGACCCAGAGGTAGCTTGGAAGAAGAAAGAGATCAGTGTGGCTGGTCATTATTTGGGAGACTTTGTAACCATTATGCAACCAAAGGGCCACAGGAAGGCAGGTTGTATATTGCTTCAAATACATTGAAGAGGTAATTTTGTTCAAGACATGTAAACCATGAAAACACTTCTCCCAGTACAAGTTCTTCAAAGCCTTCTCCCAATTCCAGCCCCATTTCTGCACAACACACCATATGAAAGAAAGGGAGTAGTAGGCAGACTACGTGAGAGGAGAGAGAAGGAAACAGAAGGTCAACAGGAAGATGGTACGTGAGCTACAATGGCAGCTTTCTCCCAGTGTCCTGTAGGTTCCTTTCTTCTCCTTATGAGATTTTGGCATATTGACCCTTCACCCGTTAGCATGGAAGGATCTGTGCCTCATGTGGGAACCTTAGCATTATATCCCTCTCCCCAGGGCTATGGAGATACTGAAGGGTAGGTATCACGCATATAGTGCCAAAGGGTAAATATCGACACACTTATAGTAGTACCAAGGGTAGATATCACACATATGAACTTGAGAAACAGTGAAAAGCACCAATATTGCCTCCAGGCTATAATGTGGGTTCACTCCACAATAGTTACAGGGCCAAGCCCCCAGAGTTTACTGCACAAGTCAAAACAGAAATTTTACCCCAGCAGGTTTACCTGCCACTCATATCATAAACACAAAGCCTACAACTGTGGTAAATCTAAATTAAAGAATCGATCGTAAATACCTGTTAAAACAGAATTTCAACTTTATCTGCTACTGGGGATCAAGGGATATACCACTGTTGAGAATTACCGGATTAGGAATGTGCTTATGTATACTGTTAACTTTACCAGGAGCGTGTTGATTCCACTCTTTTTAAAGCTTGTTACGCGAATTATTTTTAAAGGGTTGGGATTGATATTCCAACTCAGGTATTGGCAACCAATTGTCTTGCAAAGATGCCATAATATACAAAAAATAATTTTTCAGATGAGCCCCAGGCTTCTCAGGACCCCAGGCCGAATAGTAATGTAGTATAGGCAAGATCCCCTCTCTGCGGCCCACAGGCCTCCATCTCTCCTCTTGCAGACTGGGGGCCTCCCATCCAAATGATCCCCAGAGCCCTCTCCCCACCTTCTTCCCTGCTCCCCAACTCCCATCCCCCAGAAAAAGTCCTACTGTCTTTACTAAATCTTGAGCCAATTAAAAGTATTGATCTAAACTGCAAATGAATGGCTTGTTGATTTAACCCTTCTTGGGGGTGATTGTTTTTCAAAAGAGAGCTCTGTTCACCTAGGTGAGTCTCCTGTAGGAGGAATGTGTAGGGAGAAGCTTTTGGCTCTTTGGCAGTCCCTTGCCTAGATTAAGCCTTGCTTAGCAGCAGGAGATCACTTACTTCCACTCCTCTCTTACCTCTACAACTGCAGAAAGTCCTAGAACAAGGAAGATGAAAAATCAGAAGCAACAAAACTATTCTCTCCACACCCACAACTGGATCCTTACTGTTTATCAAAGGATAATCCTGAAACATTTAGAGAAAACATGAACCACATGTATTTTATGAATGGAGTATTGCCCCCCCATTTTCTAGGCATTATTCCTACTTCAACCGTTGATTGGCCATTTTACTTTCTTTCAAAACTCATTGAAAGTACTCTTCAACACACATTTGATTTTCTTCTAATTTCATGCTTTGTCCACAGAATTAATGTCACTATAATTGTTAAATGCCATTTTTTGTGTGTTATTTTGGGTGAAGGATACTATTTTTTCTTTGGGCTCTGTTAAAGAACAAAATTATTTTGACACATTAAAATGATAAGGAAGCTTTTATTCAAAATTATTACAACAGGGGAGAGAGACTGAGCTCCACTATGATTATAACAAAGATAAGTGGGGATTTATAGCCAAAGAGAAGGTCAGAGGGGTCAGTGGATGGAAAGTTACTAAGAAGAGACATCAGGGGTAGGGGGATTCTTGCTTAACTGGCCTAACAGGATTCTTGCTAAAGGCAGGCCAAGGACTTAGACACTGGCAGAGACTCCCTCCTTTGGCCAAATTTGAGGCGGGCTCCTTTGAGATCTCTTTCTGACTAGGCTCTGTCTTTAGTCCAGTGGCCATGTCCTTAGTCCCATAGGTTCAGTTTCAGCAAGAATTCTGCTGAGTCAGTGGAGCAAAAATCCCCCACCCGTGATATCAGATCAAATTCCTTATCTTCCATCCTAGATGTTGGATCACCCTGGCCTGCCTTCAGCAAGAATCCTGTCACGAAGCGGGTAGGGGATAAAGAACTGGATCAGATAACAAGGGCGAGGAGATTTTCTCCAAACTGCACTAGCAGAATTCTTGCTAAGACTGGGGTAGGCAGGCCTGGCAGGGGCAGATAGACAGGGAAGGCCAAGGTTGAAGCCTTGTCGAGAAGAGGGTGCAGAGGAGCCTGACTAAAGTTTGGGCAAGGAGAGAGTCTTGGTCAGTTCCCAGAATTTCTTCACAGCAGTGATTACACATCAGAATCTTCCTGTGGAACTCAAAGACCCAGATAACTGGGCACCATCTTGGATCTGCTGAAGGACAGTATCTGCAGACATTTAACACCCTCACAAGTGACTCTTCTGCACAGCAAGGCCCAGAACCACTTCTCTAAACAAATCTGGTCACTCTACATAAGAACAGTTCCTCAGATTCTGTAAGACCGGCCCAAAAGCACGAATCTTACTTGATGGGAAGGCTCATCTCGCAAAGACCAGGAGGCACAGAGATCGATGCACAAGCAAGAGGTTTTTATTTCCGGCATGCTGGAGGTCGCCCCGTTTTCAGGACAGGAGCGGCCCCAAATTCACAATGCAAGCAGCTTTTATACAGTTTTTTGAACAGATACTGTGATAGGATCAACTGTTGGTTATCTGTGGCGCTTTTAGATTTACAGGTGGGCTTCAGCTGGCGCCTTTTGGGTTTACAGGTGGGTTTTAGCAGGCTGGCACCCCTTTAGCGCATTTCTCAATTGTTTACCTTCCCCGGGGTCTGGCTTGGTGGCCTTTGAACCAGCTATTTCCTGAAACCAGTGGGGGGTTATTAATGTTTAGTGTGCTTGGGCCTGACCTTTGTCACGGCCCCTGATAAGCTGCGTTGCTTATGCATTGTTCAGTGTGCTCGGGCCTGACCCTTGTCACGGCCCCTGATAAAACTGCTTTGCTTATGCACTGCTACAAGACTGCATACATTAAGGTTATATTTTTCTACAATTCTACTAATATTCTATGTCCCCCCTACATTTCAATTTATTTCCAACAATTCAATACTGAGGAACCAAAGATTCACCACAAACCCCTGACAAGAGAGACTACTGCTTCCTCCTCGGGTTTGGGAGAAAAGCCATATGGGAAGATGAGTTTCCACATCAGATTCTTCATGACTTGTTTCCTCTAAGGTTTAGTGTAAATGAGAGACATGAATACTTCTTCACTTGGTAAACATGCATGATTATCCTGGTCAGTGGACATTGCTGAAAAACAGCAGAGAGGTCCATCCTTGACATTTTCTCCCCCAGTGACAGCATCGTCAAGTGTGAAGCCACTCTTCAAAAACAAACGCAGGCACCTCTTCTGTGTTCACGTTCTCTCCAACAGTGTGGGGACAAGCTCTGAGCCCACAGCACCCCAGTCTCCACAGACCCCACCCCATTCCTTGCTAGGAACAAAGAGATTCCTCAGTTTTACACAAAACACTGTGCAAATGATGCTTTGTTGTCTACCCCCTCAACCCCAAGACTGTCACCCCAAGCTGTTCCTATATAGATGCCACGTATGTGCCACATTTGTGGCAGAACTGTAGAGAAGACAGGAACAGGAAAACTGTGAGAAATATAAGAAGACCTCTGCTGTGTCTGAGCACTGTCCAAAGTAATTTTATTTCCTGGGAATCTTCCTTCTCCCAACCCCAGAATTGAATCAACAAATCTGAGAGCCATCAGCTTTCTAGATTACCTCAAAATATGGTTAATTTTTTTAAGTAGACAAAATATTAATACAGAAAGAGACTAACATTTGTTGAAAACCTCTCTGTGCCAGACACTGTGCAGGGCCCTCCACACTGCTCTTCTTACAGGCTGCTTTAATAGATGCATCCAGGATGTCTGAAGGTCAAGGATATTCTTAAGTCGTGAATACGCTTAGTGGTTTGGTGCCTCTTCCACAATTAACCCAGCCTCAAACATAGTGTGTAAATTTTTTATCTCATTTTCTTTCTAGCCCGAAAACCTGTTGTACTATAGTCAAGATGAAGAGTCTAAAATAATGATCAGTGACTTTGGATTGTCAAAAATGGAGGGCAAAGGAGATGTTGTCCAAAGTAATTTTATTTCCTGGGAATCTTCCTTCTCCCAACCCCAGAATTGAATCAACAAATCTGAGAGCCATCAGCTTTCTAGATTACCTCAAAATATGGTTAATTTTTTTAAGTAGACAAAATATTAATACAGAAAGAGACTAACATTTGTTGAAAACCTCTCTGTGCCAGACACTGTGCAGGGCCCTCCACACTGCTCTTCTTACAGGCTGCTTTAATAGATGCATCCAGGATGTCTGAAGGTCAAGGATATTCTTAAGTCGTGAATACGCTTAGTGGTTTGGTGCCTCTTCCACAATTAACCCAGCCTCAAACATAGTGTGTAAATTTTTTATCTCATTTTCTTTCTAGCCCGAAAACCTGTTGTACTATAGTCAAGATGAAGAGTCTAAAATAATGATCAGTGACTTTGGATTGTCAAAAATGGAGGGTAAAGGAGATGTGATGTCCACAGCCTGTGGAACCCCAGGCTATGTTGGTAAGGACTGTGTGTGTGTGGGTGGGTGGGTGGGTGAGTGCATGTGCAGGTGCGTGTGCACGCGTGTGTGGGTCCCTGCATGTGAACTCCATCAGTCTCCTTAAGCATTTGAGCCTGGCCCATGATCACAGCTGCCTTTATTTCTCTTGAGGGAAGAATAAAAACATTGAGAGACAATGGATCGAATTAGCAGGGAAGTGCTTTCCCCCCAAACCATTTAAGACTTGGGCAGAAATCCTGTTGGATTTGGGTGTGGGCCTGGCTGGAGCCTGGGATCTAATTTGGATGAATTCCCAGTATCTAATACCAGAAAATTCGCATGTATTTGTTTTCTAATGATTCACAGTGGGACACCAAGATAACAGTAAGGTGCAGACACAATAAAACATTCATGGTGTTGAGACAGAAGCAGACAGAGATAGAACACTGATGCAAGGAACCTGGTTAAAACCTTGATGAAGTCACTCTTTTGAATCAGCCAACCCTGTTCTCTGTACTGGCAATGCCAAGAATTACAGTTTTCCCTGAAATCATCACCCCAGACTTTTTGTTACTAAACATGCAGAATGCGGAGAAGACCACTGATGGATCTGAACATTTGGATACTGAGATTCGTCTTCTAGGGACCTGGAGAAAGGTCATTGGGACTATTTGTGAATATTTTGAGGCCTTCATTTACATCAATGGATTCATTCATTCTGTAAACGATACAAAGTTCCCATCATGCACCCAGCACTGTTCTAGGCACTGGGGTTAAGGCAGTGTATCAGTTCATTTTTGTGTTGCTAAAACAGAATACTTGAGACTGGGTAATTTATAAAGAAAAGAGGTTTATTTGATTCACAGTTCTGGCATGGGCCTCAGACTACTTCTCCTCATGGCAGGCAGCTGGCAGGTGCAAGGAGATCACATCGCTAGAGGAAGCAAGAGAGGGAAAGGAGATGCCAGTCTCCTTTAACCATCAGCTTTCACAGCAACTAACAGAGCAAGATTTCACTCTACCCTCTACAACTAACAGAGCAAGATTTCACTCTACCCCCCCCTTTCCCCTAGGGAGGACATTAATCTATCCCTGAGGGATATACATACCCCCATGACCCAAGCACCTCCCAACACTGCCACATTGGAGATCAGATTCCAACATGAGCTTTGTGGGGGACAACATAGCCCAACTATATCAGGCAGCAAACAAGGCGAACACATACCTACCCTCACAGAGCTTATATTTCAGTTGGAGCCACAGACAGCAAACAAACCAAGAAATGAACAGGGTCATTTCCTGTCATAAGTGCTACAAGGAAAGCAAAACTGGGGGCAAGTGTGATAGAGTGACAAGGGACGAGGGGGAGTTAGGACTGGGTTGAGGGGATAGGGAGGAGACTTGGGTACTGGCCTTAATGATGAGAAGAAGCCAGCCCTGCATGAGGACAGCATTCCAGAGAGAGGAATGCCCAAAAGCAGGGAGGTGGTACAGCGAGGTATGTCTGAGAACAAGAAAAAAATGAGGTTGCACAATGGAGATGAAGACCAAATTCTTGTCGTGCAAACCATGATGGCCTTTCTTCATGAGAACAGCAAGCAAGCCCACCCTGAAAGAGAGGAGGTTGTATCACACGAGCAGCGTCATTTCTGCGTGTCTTTGGAAGCAGCCACAGAAGCTTCCTGAGCAGGCTGAGGAGAGCCGGCCTCAAGCACAACAGTGATGGGGGCACCAGGGCATTGTGGGAAACTCCAAGTGATCTCAGAGGCACTTCATGTCCTTGCAGAATTAGCGGTGTTATGTCAAACTGGTGTCACAACTGTTTTGTTTTCAAAGTACCTCAGAGGAGGGGAGCAAAGAGCTGGCTGAGGGGAATGGCGAATAGAGTTAGGGAAAAGGAATAGAGTTAGGGACTGGAATCTGGGTTGTGGTATGAGGCACACGTGTAGATGTACAGGAATGCCTGGGGTGGGGACGGCAGCAGAAATGCGAGTGTATGTGCTGTGGGTGTGAGATTTCTCCAGTTCAGTCCAAGCCACCAGGCAGGCAGCAAATAAACGTGAATGAGACCTAATTATGAATGGGAGCTTGTTTTCACGGGGGCCAGGCCAGGGGGAGCCTATTCCACCAACCATCATGAACCACAGACATTAGGAAATGAAAAGGCTTATTAGGTCACAGTGTCCCGTTCCTTATCAAGGCGGCCTTGCTCTTTTCAGCCAAGTCTCTGGCCCCAAGGCCACCTTCTCTGGGCTAAGAATGTGCCAGTACTTTAGCCTGACCAGCACTGCCCTTCAGGAAGTCAGCTCTTGGGCTGTGATTTAAATGAGCTGACAAAGAAGTCCATATTTACATATGCATCGCCCTGTTCTCATATTTGGCTCTGCTGTTGGAAAGCTCTAGTGCTTTCTAAATTGAGTTTTGCTTCTCTGCGTTTTGGCAGAGCCCACGGAATGGCAGCTTCTCTGGGTTTCTAAGTGGCTGCTGTCCGAGAGGTCTGGTTCCATTTGCTCCTGTGTCCAGTGTGGATGACTCCGGGTATGGTGTTTAGAACGGCCCCTTGCTCTCACTACCCCAAATGGTGGCAAGTGGCGACCATTGTGTAATTCTGTTGTCAGATACTGAGTTTTCTTAAAGGAGGATGCGGGAAGGGGAGGATAATAGGAATATAGCTGTTCAGTTTGTTCGTATTTACTGAGCACCAAGACTCCTGGGAGAGTCTCACTCTGGAATAAGCCCTTTGGAGGGGGATACAACTTTAGAACAGGGAAGGGGCCACTTTGAAGAACTCCCATCTGTGTGGACATCCTTGGGCAGTCATCAGCTAAGCTTGGGCTGTTTCTTCTCCCACAGTCTGCATAGCAAGCTCTATTCAGCTGTCAAAGCCCAGCTTAAATGGTCCTTCCTTTTGATTGCTTTCCCAACACCCCATCCTCTCCTTTGTCATCCTAGTTCTTTTCCTGACCCTTTTCTTTGATGTGATGGCTCTGATCACATTGCACTAGGGTTCATATTTATCTGTGTCTCTCCCCCACTGCACTGTGGGTTTTCCTCCAGGAGGGACTGTGTCTTATTTATCTTTGTGCAGATGCTTGCTGAATTAAATAAAAACTCGAGGTTCATGAATAACAGAAATTTTTTCTCTTTCTCTATCCCTGTCATTCATTCAGCATGAACTTATTGAATTCCTATTATGTGCTGTGTGTAGTGTTCGGTGTTAGAATACAAACACGAATAAGGTACAGTCTCTGACCTAAAAATGTTCACAGTGTTACGAGAGGCAGAGGGCAAACGTAAATTTAATAATACACAGTAAGTGCTACATTATTCATCCTTTCAAGAATTATTTATAGTGCCTACCTTCTGTTCTAGGCACTGAGGTTGCATCAATAGAAAGAAAAAACATAAAAATTCCCACCTGCATGGCACTTACATTTGAGTGGGAGAGAGACAGACTATAAGCAAATAGCTAAGTGGATTCATTCATGTATTAGATGGTGGCAAGCACTATGAAGAAAAACGAACCACATTTTATTTATCCAGTCATCTGTCAACGGACATTTAGGTTGGTTCCATTTCTTGTCTATTGTAAATAGAGCTGCAATGAACATGGGAGTGCAGGTGTCCCTTCAACACGATGATTTCCATTCCTTTGAGTACATACCCAGCAGTGGGATTGCTGGATCATATGGTAGTTCTGTCCGTAGTTTTTTGAGAAACCTCCTTACTGTTTTCCGTAATGGCTGTGCTCATTTACAGTCCTACGTACAATGTGTAAGGGTTCCCCTTTCTCCACATCCTCACCAACATTTGTTATTTTCTGTCTTTTTGATAATAGCCAGTCTAACTGGGGTGAGAAGATATGTCAATATGGTTTTGACTTGCATTTCCCTGGTGATTAGTGATGTTGAGCATTTTTTCATATACCTGTTGGCCATTTGTATGTCTTTTGAGAAATGTCTGTGCAGCTCTCTGGTCCATTTTTAATTGGGTTATTTGGGTTTTTTTACTATTGAGTTGTTTGAGTTCCTATATTTTCTGGACATTAGTTTTTTGGGGGGTTACAAATAGATTTTAGCCAGTAGGCAAATTCCCAAACACAGAATCCTGGAATAATGAGGATAGGCTCTATTTGGAAGATGTGAACCTACAGATGCATTTTAAAGCGATGAACCTGAATGAGATCACCAAGAGGGGGCCATGAAAGAGAGGAAGGTCCCCAGGCTGAGTCCTGGGGACATCATTGTTCACAGGTCAGGGGGATGAGAGGGCACCAGCAAGAGGAGACTGAGACAAGTGGGCAGAGAACCAGGAGGGTGTGGTGTCCTAGAGGGCAAATGTGGAAGGTCCTTCAAGGAAGAGAAAGTGTCATGTGTCAATTGCCGCTACCAAGTCTAGTAAAATGGAGACTGAGTATCGGCCACTGGTTTTGAGGACCTTGAATTCAGAACTAATTGAACTGTTAATTAAGTTTGTGGGAGCCCTGCAGTCAGAGTAATGCCAGGAAGAAGGTGACATCTTGGTGAGAGTACACTGGCATGATGTCAACTGTGGGGCTGGGCACGGTGCCCTCCCCTCCCCCAGCAGTGGCTTCTCTCTGAGAGGCTCTTGGGCAGTTTTCAGTTTGAACAGAGTAGAACCGAGCCCCATTTGGCAGCTGTAAGGGAGAAGGGAGAGAGCACTATTCTCCCACTGCTGATTGTGGGGGCCACACTGTCCCCTGAGCCCAAGCAGGAGCAGAGGGTTGCTGTGTGCACCCAGCCTGGCACGTTGTCTTTGGATTTTAAAAGAAATAGGTGAATGTAGAATGAGGAAAAGCTTCCTTTCCCCCAGGGCAATCTACAACTTTATAGCTTTAGTATTGACTCCTTATAGGTAGGAGTGTTGATTTCAATTTGCGAACCCTTGTTTTATTATTATTATAATTGTCTAAGTGACTATTCAACTGAATAGTTAATTCTGCCAACATCAAGTTATTACTTCAATTTACATGAACTCTCTGATAATGAGACAATCAAAC